AAATTCCCTGAAAATATTTGTTAAGCTGTTTTAATGTGGATCATTTAAAAAACAAGTGGATCAGAAAAAAATTCCCTGAAAATATTTGTTAAGCTGTTTTAATGTGGATCATTTAATCATATAAACTGAACAAATTAGAAGAAGAAGATTTGGATAAATTATTATCTATATAATAAAACAACACATTCGTATATATGTTCTCTCTGGCTGGCCGGCCAAACGGCGGGACCGAATGGGCTGAAATTTTTTTGAACACTCATGGGTAGCCTGGGGGTGAAATAGGCTAACATAAATGAAATTTTTTTTCTTTTTTAAAATTTTTTTTTCAAATTTTTTTTTCTTTTATACGGGCAACGCCGGGCCCTTCAGCTAGTCTAGTATGAAATCTCAGCATGTGATTCCGGATCAACGTTAAAACCATAAACCATGGTACATTCAGCTGAAAAAAAGTCTAAACCTTAAATTTTCAAAATCAGTGAAAACAAGTGAATATAACATTGACATAAACTTTAAGGGAAATAATGGATTAAGATCTAGTGAGCTAGATATAAGTTGGAACATATTTAACCTGGATCAAATCTTCTTTCTCTTCAATTCTATCTTCTTTCCCTTTCATTATATCTTCTTTCTCTTCAAGCAAGCTAAAGTGATTAATAAACTGGATCCAGCTCAGGAATTCTTATTTAATCTGCATCTAAAAACTAGAAAAACCAAATAAAAAATCGTATCTAACCTTGTATCAATGAATGTTGTGCTAGCAAACAATTTAGTAAGAGAGAAAGATAAAATGATAAAAAATGGGGGGGGGGGCGAGGGGATATATTTTTGAAGGATTAAAACTCGACAAAGTTTATACGAATCTATGTTTTGTGACACAATGTAAGCATTTCTCCTGGAAATTGAGCCAAGTTCTAAGTTTCTCCTTCTCTAAATCTAACAAGGAACTTAATTTCAACTTCAAACCATTCTTTCGTTAAATTCTGTTTTCTTAATCTTAATTGATTTACATTCAATTTCAATTAAACTTCAATTTAATTTAATTTCCGTGTTATTTAATTTCAATTTAATTTCAAACTTTTATTCGAATTAATTATTGAATTATCTATATTTTTTTGTCAATTTCAGTTTCATTAACTTTTATAATGCCATTTCAACTAGATTTTTAAAAAATTTATTTCGATTTATTAAAAATTCAAAAACATTTTCATTCAAAGCCAGGATTTAAATGACACTTGAAAAAACGTTGATGTCTCCTAAAACTTCAATTTGTCAAAACCCTTCTTTCTGTTAAAAACTATTCAGTATAATTTCATACTCTATGGAGTTAGACTTGAAAGAGGTTAAGCTCCCAAAGGGCTTTTCACTCCCCAACCATTCCACTTTCCAATACAATAGTGTCAAAGGGAAATTTTCGCCGGCAAACATGTTGAAGATTCTCCACCAAAAATCAGTTAAATAAGATTGACATGTTCTATTCACCTTGGTACCTTTTTTATAAAAAATATATTAATTTTTTAACTTTGAAAATTAAAAGATATCAAAACTAAATTTCATTTCTGATGAATTTAAAATATCTTATTTTACATTTATGTACTTTACATTTATGTACTTTAGCCCCTCTTCTTCAATCTGTAATAGATGCTTCAACCAACTTCTTCACAAATCAAACTCAGGTCTTACAGATATAATAGCACTTGGGGCAATGCCATTAAATGGAGAAGGAATTTACCAGTTGCCACAAAAACTTATCAAACTTGTAATTTTAGATACTTGGAACATTTAATGCAACTGAAAGTTTTTTATAAAATCCTATCTATTTTTCTAGAAATATTTTTATTATTAAATTTTCCTTGTATCCTGTATCCATTTTTAATATACCATTAAAATACATGCAGAGGTATCCGAAAAAAATGATACTTTGATTACGACCAAAAAGATCTAAAAAATGGATACGAAAACCATTAAATCAAGGCAATATAAAAGTAAAGTTTCTAAATATTCATACTTTATAGGTAACCCAATTAATCTCAAAAACTGTCTTAACTCCTAAAAAAAACATTGCGATTCGAAAAGAAAATATTACTTTATAAACAGCTGTTTTATTTTCATAAAGGTCCAATTTAAAATCATCTTTTTTACAGCATAGAAATATCATTTACTCCCACACAAATCAGAACCAATGGAAATTTAAACCCCCAATAGATTCACTTTTCAGACTTTTTCATATAGTTTATATATCTGTTATTGAACCAGGGTAAACCGTTAGATGTTATTATCTCGTTTTGCAAGGTAGGATACGGAGAAATTCTGATAACACCATAAAAATTATCGCTTTGAAGAAGACGACATTTGAAAACGTCTGACGAATATAATCTTTTAATTTGGTAGATTTGTGTGGGAATCCTTAGTTCAGATCTAAGGCAAGTATGATATTCTAATTCTATAGAATAATTAATTTGGTGATACAAAAATCTAACAATATTATATTCATTTTTATTGCACTTTGTGATGTAGGAGTAAAATAAAACTTCTGACAAACTTTTTTTTAAATATGCCTACCGTGGCACTTCTTTTTAAATCAAGTGCAGGTTATTCCATATCTTAAGAAGTGCATAAGAGGGATAATATTCTCATCAGCCCTTATTCAATATGTCAAAGAAAGAAAAGATGAAAGAATAAATGAAAAATTAATATTAGAAAAAAGTTCCAGAAAGCAGGAACAGTAGGACTGGTTCAAAGAGTAATGGTTGCAACTGCACTCCTCTACGATTATCTTAGTGATACAGGTATTCTATAACTACAGTGAGAACCGGAAAACTGTGGAATAGGAAGACGACTTTTAGACTCGAGTTCAGACTTTAATGCTAAATGAATGGAACACAACAATTGTGCAGCAGACTCATATAACTTAAGGAATAAATTATCATGAGCTACTTTAGTAGAACATCAAATAAGCATAAGACTACATAAATGTCTTCTTAATACTCACAGTTTTATGGGTTTTCCTGTAAAACAAGTTTAAACTAACAGAAGAAAAGGAATCAATTACTTGAGTCAGATTCTAATTTTCTAATTTTTATATCTTAGCCACCTGCTAGTGTTAGCCTTTAAACTCTGATCTTTGAATCCTGCTGCATTGAGATAGATAGATAGATAGATAGGCAAAGTTTGAAATATCAAAAACTTTTGAAAATCTAGATTATAAAATCAGAGCTTGAGGTACAGTTGTCGTCGCATATATCAATACAATGGAGACTATTTTCGATTTCAATTTTTATTTATATCATCCTTTTTAACAGCATGGATACATATAAACATGGAAACAAAGGGAAGATAAATCTTCTCTTTGATTACTTGTAAACTAGTGATTTAAAAAACTCTTGTAAAAAAGTAAAAATTAAATAAAAGTGTCGTCTTTATTGTATTGATATAATCGCCTACCACTGTAAGTAATCAGTAGTTTTGAGAACAATGATTTACAACCAAAATATTTGTTTAGGTTTATTTGTAAAAGATTCTCCGATTAATGTGAAACAAATTGTTCACATTTTACAGTTGGAAGCTGGTCTAGGAATCAGGTACAGACACATTTATTAAACATGAGACTAACATATAGATGATAGCACTGGTACAGACACATTCATTAAACATGAGACTAAGATATAGATGATAGCACTGGTACAGACACATTCATTAAACATGAGACTAACATATAGATGATAGCAAAGATACAGGCTGATTTATTAAACATGAGACTAACATATAGATGATAGCACTGGTACAGACACATTCATTAAACATGAGACTAACATATAGGTAATAGCAAAGATACAGGCTTATTTATTAAACATGAGACTAACATATAGATCATAGCACTTGAACAAACACATTCATTAAACATGAGACTAACATATAGGTGATAGCAAAGATACAGGCTGATTTATTAAACATGAGACTAACATGTAGATGATAGCACTGGTACAGACACATTCATTAAACATGAGACTAACATATAGGTGATAGCAAAGATACAGGTTGATTTATTAAACATGAGACTAACATATTGATGATAGCACTGGTACAACCAGAGGTTTTAACAGAGGGGGGGTTGTATAGTTAAAAAATTCCAGATTTTTTGTGTTGTTAGATATGCGTTTAATGCAGAAAAGTTTCAAATGTTCAAGTATCACAAAATTTTGCACCTCCCCAACACATTTCCCTAAAATAACCTCTTGTTTATCGTGAAGGAATTGAGTATTTGACACAAACTCTGATATTCTAATTCCTATATCTTCGGATTCCAATGTCGTAGACTTTTGAAATTTCAAACTACGACTTCTGTTAAACCAAATAATATAAGTTTGCAATATCAAAGGTTTACGACATTGGGTTCCAAAGATATAGGGACTAGAAAATCGGAGTTCGTGGCAAAGACTCAATTCCTTTGTCCGTAAAAATGTTTTCAAAGAATATATATTGAGGAGACATGGTAGTTTTGGTAGTAAGGATCAAGACGAGCTGACCGCCAAGCTACAAACAGTTGACCGAACCAGTCTCAAGGAATTACAGGTACAACACTAATGACAGCTATTATTCTTTAAGATGATCGGGGCGGGGTATTTTTTTCAAAATCCGTTTATCGCACCCCCCCCCCCCCTCCCTCTGAACAGTATTTCAGGCCACCCTAAATTTTCAAAATTGTGGGTCGTAAAACATTTTAAAATGTTGCCTTTTTTAATTTTGACAATTACGTATATTATTAAATCATAAAGATTTATAAACAAACAAAGATATAAATACATATATTAAAGTTGTAGTTTAAATTTGTTTAAATTATGCACAAATAGGCGACATTGATCATTACTCATTAGATAACATATTTATCATTTCAGTTATTACGTAATCATCAAATCCTTCAACATATAAATTATTTGTTTTTGTATTTAAAAGTTCTTGTAAAACTGGAGATAAATAGAGAGTCTATTTTTTATATTTGAGCTGATCTTAAAATATAATTTAAATTATTTTTCAAACCCTCGAATTTAAACAATTGCAACAGTAATTTGTACTTGAAGTCAATTTGATATTTTCAAACCCTTTTTGATATTTTCAGGATAAAAAAGATAAAATTTGCATTTTTTTATGTTTAGGTTCAGGCCAAAAACCTGTTGAATGTCCTTAAGTTTTCAAATAAACATCTCAAGGTAACTTTTTCATTGTTATTATTACTTTTATTTTTATTGTTATCGTTTTTTTTCCTTTCATTATTATTATTATTTTTCTTACTATTCTTATTAATATTCTTATTAATAATATTATTACCTATTCTTGAGTACATATACATTTAGAGAAAAGGCTACGGCATTTGAGTCGGAAAAATCGTCTTCCTTATATTTCGAATTAATTTTAACAACTATATAGGATCAACTTTAATATAGTTTTAACAGTGTGTAATTTAAATAGGATCGACTTTAACATTGTTCCAAGAGTGTGTAAACTACATAGGATCAACTTTAACATTGTTCTAACATTGTGTAAACTATATAGGATCGACTTTAATATAGTTTTAACAGAGTGTAAACTATATAGGATCGACTTTAACATTGTTCTAACAGAGTGTAAACTATATAGGATCGACTTTAACATTGTTCTAACAGAGTGTAAACTATATAGGATCGACTTTAACATTGTTCTAACAGTTGTGTAAACTATATAGGATCGACTTTAATATAGTGTTCTAACAGAGTGTAAACTATATAGGATCGACTTTAACATTGTTCTAACAGAGTGTAAACTATATAGGATCGACTTTAACATTGTTCTAACAGTGTGTAAACTATATAGGATCGACTTTTACATGGCTTTAACAGCGTGTAAACTATATAGGATCGACTTTAATATAGTTTTAACAGTGTGTAAACTATATAGGATCGACTTTATCATTGTTCTAACAGTGTGTAAGCTATATAGGATCGACTTTAGCATAGTTTTAACAGTGTGTATCCTATCTAGGGCTTTAATGCTCTCTGAGGAGATGGAACGGTTGGTTCCAAGGATCCTAGCTCAACTCTATACTGGATCAACTACCCTTGGAAGAATTAGGAACCTCTCAAATTAAACTAGTTCAACAATATTTCGGCGAAGACGATTTGATAATTTTTTTCAAATCCAAAATTTCTCAATATCAGAAATTAAGTGAAATAACCAGAGAGCAAAACTTGTGTGTCTAGGAAACTCAAGTTTTATTGTCCAACGGGGGGAGGAATTTATAAATTTCCCTGATTTAAGATGTTTAATTTAACGTTTATCCACTGAGCATCTTAAGTTTATTGCTGAATCCAAAATCAAAAGTTTCGCACTCAAGTTAAAATACAAATATAATCTATTTAGGTGGAAACTTAATATTAGAACTTTAATGGGGAACCACTCAGTAAAAATATAAATTTTGAGAAGTGTACTTAACCATTTTGTTTCCTAAGTGGATTAAGTATTTACAAGGTTAGGGTATCTGCATTAAATCATGGAATAGGATCTAAAAAAAAAGATATTATCGCTTCTGACATAACTATCGTCATTTCAAAGGAATTAAGTCTTTGCCACAAACTCAAATTTTCTAGTCCTTGTATCTTTGCAACCTGAGGGCGTAAAACTTTGATATTTTAAGCTTAGATTTTTTTGATCTAACTGAATTCATATCAGGTCTACGAAATTGGTTTGCAAAGATATAGCGATTAGAAAACCAGAGTTTGTAGCAAAGACTCAATTTCTTTACACTACAATACAAGAATTCACTTGGTGGAAAGGATGTCTGGCACGTACGAAGGATATGTTCAACAAGTTATGCGAAAATTTATTTTAAGGCTCTTCTAGACGTCTTTATAGTCCTTTAAATAAAAAAAAATGTTTACTATGTATGTAATGTTTACCATTTCAATTTCTTGACCGGTTAATGTAGATTAGACGCAATTAGCTTTTCTCGGATCCAGTTTATGTTGCTTGTTATAAAGCCTAAAAAGCTTATCTACAGACTGAAACTTATCCATTTAAGCGTGTCCAAGAGGTTTGATAACCTTAAAAAGCCAAAGGAGGGTAAGCCTTTATCGTAGAAGGGGTCCTTGATAGTTTTTTTTTATAGTTGAAATCTACATTTCAACAAACAAATAAGAATCTTTTCCTAGGAGTAGGACCTCTTTGGGGCAAAAATTATCCAAATCTTTGCCATTTTTCAAATCTTGTTTTACAACTTTGTTTTCAGCCCCATAGCTGATGTCAAACTCATCAAAAATCCCCAACTATAAGAAACCTTGCGAATTTGGTTTGAGAAACTTTCAAATGTGTCAACGTACTGTTTGTGGGGTTTTTGTGGATTTTTTCTGCTTGCAGAAATTTCCTTTTTCTGCCAACACTCTCTAATACGCCTTTTTCCTTTTAACACACTTGTAGACTGTTGCCGCGGCAATATTATTGGCCATACCTCGTACTCCGGGTTTTCCGAATGAAAGTTTTTTTTTCAGTGAACTGTTTCATTTTTTGTTTATAACACAAAAGTTTAAAAAAGCGTTAAAAAAATAATTTGATAACGAGGTTTCAGAGAGAATAGTAACTATCTTCTACAGTTTGGAATGCTTCTAGATATCGCAATGCAGGTGATTAAATTTTTACTTAAAAAGATGCAAAATAACTTAATAAACTTAAAGGAGTTCCTGAACAAGCAAGAGGCAATTAAAATGTCGTCTTCGATCTTTGGTCAAATTGTCTATCGTTTTCAACCTAATTTTACATGTGGGATTCTTGAAGCAATAACTAAAAAATTACCAAAGTCCTGATAATTTCAAAATGTGGTAAACTAATTTATTTTTTAATCAACCTTTTTACTAATTTTTGACAACACTACGGAAACCAAGATTTGCTACGTTTTCCCGGAATATTTTTTTCTTAGCCGTCACTTGGGACGAAAGAAATCCATGTTGCGAAGTTTTTGTGAAGAGAGAAATTGTTTTGAACTCTAGTTTTTCTAATCCTTAAATCTTTGCAACCTGATGTTGCAGCCTTTTATATTTCAAACTTTGACTATTTAATCTAGCGGAATTCATGGATCGAAATATCAAAAGTATAAACCATATATATATATACATAATACATATATATAGTAACAGTTAAACTCTTAATAACGAATACATCGAAAGAATTCATCAAATGTCGTATTCTTCACTTTCTGATAATGGAATGTTACAGATATTTAGTTTTATAATAAAATGATTATATGGAGCTCTTTAAAACTGTTCCCGCAAATTCATGGCTATTTATTTAAATTTGCAAATACTGAAAAAGTATAAAACCCATTGAAAATTGTCAAGACGACATTTGACAAATTCTTTCGATGTATGGCTCATTTAGGGTTTAACTACCCTTTTTACAAATTTAAGTTTGATGATTTAAAACTGGCGTCTCCTGGACTACAAAATGACATCAGGAACAGATTTTATTGTGCAACTCTGCAATAAGAATTTAATCAATCAAAATCACGATATGTGTCATGAAAGTTATTTTTTTAATAAACTCTAACAAGATTCTTCAAAGTCAAATTCAATTTAATTTTTGGTCCAAACACTTATCATAATTTTTTGTTTGATGCATAGTTATGTGAAAAGACAGCTGGTTTTCAGGTAAGCTGAGGCAGAATTTAAAGAATTTGAGCGGCGGTTTAAATTTAAGCCGCGGATTAAATATGGTTGGTTCCACTTAAAATTGTATCAAATGTTTCAAGATTTAGGCCGGCGCTAAATTTAAATCGGGTTTTGGCGAATTTTGGCGGATTTAAACCGCGACTCAAATTCTTTAAATTCCATTTCTGGCAAATTTAATTCGGCGAAACATAGAGAATTTTTTTTATGCTGTCTTTGATCTGCAGGGCACTAATTCATGACTAAATATTTCTAACATTAAAATTTTGAGCTGATTTAATTCCGTAAGACAAAATTCATTGGATTAACTTAAAAATTATATGTTTTTACTAAAGATGATCACCTTCAGATTAAAGTTTACACTTTTTAGTTCAAATTCTATTTTTTAAGCTTAAATTCTGGATTTAGCTATTTGGGCTAAACAATTATCACAATTTATGCAATTTTTTGGCTATAAAGTAACGTATGCATATTCAGAATCCTTTCATATCAATAAAAAGATTTGAATTGAATTGAGGGTTACCCACAAAGGATGAGATTCCCTGAAACTTTAAACTTGTTTCTTTCTGTTCCAAATCAATAAATTAAGCCGTTGAAAGACTAAATTCAAGACAGAAGACTTAGTTTATCCTTGGAATCGTCATATCTTAAGAGTTTCTAGTCATCTTCACAGTCTCATCTTTTGTGGGTAACCCTGTATAAAACAATAATCAAATGTTGGATTAATTCATAGATTCATTAACAATAAAAGCTTATAGGACACTAGATAAAGTTTTATTTTAAGATTTAAGGGTTTTTCATTCACAATAACCCTGAGACTAAAGACCAAAGCTATCTCTCTGTCTTGTAATATAACGTTGCCTGCGCGGAACTCCTTTGGGCTTCTTCCCCTTCGTTCTTATTGTGAACGAAAAACCTAAATCTTGAAAAGACGACATCTAGTGTCCTTTTTGTTATTATTAATAAATATCTATTGTTATAATTAATCTATATGGAGTAATTCTTCATAATAAACACATAAATCTAAGCTGCATATTAATGTCGTCTTTTTTAGAGAGAATTTCAAGGAGAGTTTTCTAAATCTAAACCTGGAAAATCTGGCAGCCTTCTATATCAAACCAGGTACAGTGAACAGAGGATGAGACTTACCCTTGAGTTACTGGTTTCCGTGTAGTTTTATATTTCTAATACCGCATTTGCATAATCAGAGTTCAGAGACGACTGTACGGAATTTTTTTCAGACAATTTATCCTTACATTCAAAGATTCCAACATCGGGAAATTTGTTTCTTTCATAGCCACAATATTAAATATGTCATTTAAAGTCTATATTTGCGACAGAAAACTAAAGTTACAGGTCATCATGAAAGTCTCATCCTGTATGGAACCCTATATACAGGGTGTCCCAAAAAACATGGGAATTCAGTGACGAATTCGATATCGTCTTTTCAAATAATTCTTTGATTTAGTGTCAAAAATNTTACATTTTGTTTGTTAATGTTTTGACTGCAACCGGTTGTACTTAGTAAAACAAGAAAATTACAGTATACAAACAGAGTAAACTTGTCCGTATTCACTGTTCATCTTGCGGAGACATTATAGACACATCTTTTACACTTTTCAATAAATAAACTCTAGCAGACATAATAATATTATATGGCTTTTGAAAAATAGGTATTACAGTGCTAATTCATAACAAAGACGATATCGAATTCGTCACTGAATTCCCATGTTTTTTGGGACACCCTGTATATACACTATATACCATATAAAATATAAAAATCAGTAAATCAAATTGATCAGATCAGATTAGAGTTTTTATTCGAGTTTTAGGTTACATCATCAAAGTCACATCCTGTTTAGGTAAAAACTAGAAATATAATTGTGCATATAGTTTTACATATTGTTGTACAATTGTAATTGTAATTGTATACAATTTGATGAACTTATAGAGGCCTTTAGCTCTACATTCTATTTTAAAGGGAGAACTTTAAATTTGTTATTAAAGAGACTCTAGACGTAATTTATTTGTTATTAAAGAGACTCTA